GGTCCCCGGCCGAGCACCCCCGTCCCGGTCCCCGGCCGAGCACTCCTGGCCCCGCACCACCGGGCTCTCCCTCCATATTTTCCCGGATATGTCTGGCCTTTTGGAATTTCCTCCCGGACGGGGATTTGAGGCCCAAAAAGCCGGACATGTCCGGGAAAATCCGGACGTGTGGTAACCCTACATTAATCTGCTGTGCTGATCAAATCCAGTGCAACTTTTTAAAAAGTGCTTTGGGATTTCAGAGACAGGCCTGCAAAATGCTGTATTTCTGTTCAGTAAGTCTCTCACCTAGAATATGCTGGAGGGAAAGTGCCTTGGGGCCGGTCCCCAGACCCTAATCTTTTTAATGTGTCCCCCTCACCTTCTGGACCTTGCAAAGCAAGGAGCTGGATACTAGTAATAAGGTAACTTGGTATGGCAAATGCAACCACTGCTGTCTGTTCAAAGTAGGTCTTGCCCCGCAGTCCTGGCTGCAGGCACCTCTTGGTTGGGGGATACTGGACAGAAATGAGGCACTGATGGAAAAACAATACTTTTGCCAGCTTGTTTTTTTTGGGGGGGAGAGGGGGGAATCTCTCCCACAATTCCACAGCAGGCAAATGCTATAATGCATCCCCTGCCTAGCAGGAGAACTAAGAAACCACCTGCAAGCTGAGCTGGGGGAGAAATGAACTTTCTTCTGCCAATATCTGTGGCAACTCTTGATCATCCCTCTGTGGCCCCAGCTTGCATCTAGAGGCTGTCTCTCAGGGGCTTCAGTGAGCTTGGGCCAGAGAAAGGGCCTTCAACGTCTAAAATGTTCCTGTAGGCAGAGGAGCTGTGTCTTCTGGGGATGCTCATTTCTGCCAATCAGTCCCCATGTGAACCTCTTGTTAGAGGTGTCAACCTCTTCCTTTTCCCTTCCACCAGGTTTTTCTCTCTTGGGCTGGCTGGGTGTGTATTGTGCGCTCTCAGATGATGAGTGGGAAGCCTTTGCCCAGACAGAGGCCCATGGGAGGGTGCCGTGGAATTTGGGACTGATTATGTTTAGGCCTGACTGCTCAGCTGTCCGGCCTCGCCCTCCTAGCTGGAAGGCTTGTCCTTTGTGTTGCATGAAGCTGGAATTCAGGAGTGCAGAGTTTCTGATCCGTCCTCTCTTCATTCACAGCTTTTAGCTAGAGGAAGCTTCGTAACTTATCTGCGTTGTAAATGGCTTTGGGTTGAACCCGAGTTAACCTTTTTGAGGCACAAGTTTCAAGCCTGGTATCCCCTGTGCTCAGTTAGAAATTGAGGGGGAACGTGGTCTAGTGGGTAGAGCACAGGCCTGCAACAGGAGGAGAGAAGAGGTTCTGGTCCCAGCCCTGCCAGTGACCTTGGCCAATGCAGTTCTCTTCAGCGCCGCCATTGTGCCATCTGTAAATGCAGCGGCTTGCCTGCCTCCCGGGAGTTTTGGGAGAACTGCTGCATGCTTGCAAAGCACCTTGAGTTCCTCGGATGGAGCGCAGGATGGGATACGTAATGCGTTAGCTTGTGAACGCATCAGCTGTGGTTATAATTCTTTGCAGCGTGGCTGCTGCGTGTGCAGAGTAAATCCGCTTCATGGCATTTCGGTTTGTGTTTATTTCTAAATGTCATGGCGCAGATTTCACATATAAACTACCCAGCACCTCCTCTTCCCCATTAGGAGTTGGCAGTGCAGTTTGCCTCGGGACACTTCTCTGTTTTGTGGGGAGCCCAGACTTCAGCCCAAAGGACAGACACCCACTGGCTGAGGCCAGAAATGCACCCTGCAGCCTTGCTTGTGACTGCAGGGGGCGGAATGGGGCAGCACCTGGCAGAAAAGCAATAGCCCCCTTGTCTGTCAGGGAAGGTGCTTGCACCTACGCAGTTTGGGTCGTGTATTTTGGTGCAAATTCTGTGGTGCTCTTAGCCACCATGGCCAACTGCCAGGACCCCATCTAGTGCAGTCCTGCTGGCCTTGGTGCATGGGGCCAGGGGGTGTGCATGGTGTGTCCTCGCTGTAATCCCTAAAGTGGGCAAGTCACACAATCTTTTCCAGTATACTGCGGTGCCCCTTTGAGTCTGAAACACACCAAGACAAACCAGACTCTTAGGGTTAATTGTGTATGTTTACACCCTAAAATAGGGCAGCTATGACTTGGTGGAGTCAGCAGATCTGCAGTGTTCTCATAGATGGGGAAATAGTCAATAGGCAGCCCACCAGCTGTGGGTCAT